CAATATGCTGAACAAAATTAAAAAGATGTGTGATGAATACCAAATAAACAAGAAAAACCTCCAAAAGCAGTTGGAAGATGTAAAGAAACTTACACAGCAGGCAAACAATGCAAGGTAAGTACTGTATGTTTTAAAACCTTCACAAGACACAGTAATGCTTTGCCCAGTGAGAAGTGTTAGGGATAATAAGTCAAGTGTGTTTTTAGCTGCACTGGGGAGCATTGGGTCAGTTGTGATTTTGGTACGCTGAAGATTTGTTTGTTTGAAATGAATGGGCAGAGGCAAGATGTAAAGCGTATTTGAAGGGGTAAATGGGCCCTAAATATATACACAGCCATCCTGTACAACAACCACCCCACAACTCAATTGAGATCCTAAGATCAAAAAAAAGAATCTCATGTCTGAGTAGCTTGAGTAGCCTATTGCACATATGATAATATAAACAGGAGAGTGCACCATGGTCAAACATGAGAATAATATACTATAATAGTGAAAAGCCTGCAGAGAACAAAATGGTCTTCTAAACATGGGTGACTTGACAGTACCTATGCAAAAAATAACAATGTTGACAATACATGGGCCCCAAATTGGCAAATGTACGCAATACAAATAGGCAAACATTATAATATACAGCTACTAAATGGTTTCTTTTTTTCAACCAGATTACTATGGGGGTTATTCACTAAATCTGCATGGTGCAGAATCCAGTGCAGCTCTGCATAGAAACCAATCAACTTCCAGGTTTTATTGCCAAAGCTTAACTGAACAAGCTGCAGCTAGAAGCTGATTGGTTACAATACACAGCTGCACCAGATTCTGAGTGCAGCAGTTTTAGTAAATGCAACTATGTAACAGACAGGCAATTGTGACAAAATGCAGGCATGAACAATTGAGACAATATATGGACAACAACCAGGTAAATGTGCAGACAAAGAGACAATCCTAACAAAATACAAACAACAAACAGGCAACTGTGACAAAGCTTCCTCCTTTCTCCTTTGGTGATTATTATTATTATTATTATTATTATACAGGATTTATATGAATTACTGTTTTTTTTTATAATTACTTTTTGATGACAAGCATTTTAACTTATTAAAATTTTTTGGTTTTATTTCTAGAAAAGCAGTTGATAACCTTCCCAGTGGATATGAGATCAAAAATAATTTAAATCAAGCTGAAAATACACAGAAAAAGACAAGTTCCGTGTTAAACAATGTTAAAAAGAACATTCAAGACATTAGAAACAGACTTTCACAGGTATTGTAATTTAAATAACATCATTAAGATGTTTAAGTTTTATAAAATACAGAATAGACCATTATATCATCAACATGCAGAACACTAACATTTTTAAAAAATATACGTCAATTTGCTCATTCAGGGTTATGACCACTCCCTTTCAAACCACCAATGCTTACCTTCATTTTTGCAATCTCCCACCATAGTATTTGTTTGTCTGGGCCCTCACAAATTGCAACTGCTTCCGTTGTATGCAACAGTATGTGACCTTCTCCCCTTCCACCCAAGATGCAGAGCTTAGGTCAGAGTCATGCCCATACAACAAGCTGGGATGGAAAGGTGGTCATTACCCCTTCTCCCACAGACTAAATCTTACACCCAAGACTTATGCAGAGCGTTATTAGCGGTCATGGAAAACTTGACACTTTCACCTACCCATATCGGCCTCTACAAAATAGGCACACTGCCTAAAAATAGAGAGCAACTGAGCATGTGCAGAGCAGGGTAAGAGAGCGTATTATTGGGATATAAACAGTATAGGCACTCATTTTTAATGTTTTATTTAGCTATACCTGCAAAAGGGGCCAGCCTGAAGTGATCTAGCAGGACTTAATTTTCTGATTAAAGTTCTACTTTAATGAAAAAAGGGAAAATATGGTCACTTTTAGGATGGGCATATAACCACACCTTGTGATGTACATGTATACAAGTGTACAAAAATGCAAATTCACACGTTAACAGAGAAGAAAAATGCATCTGTCATGCTTAATGATGTACTTGGTATGCATTGGAGCATTCTTGTAAACCAGGGATCTCTAAACTATGGCACGTGGGCCAAATGCAGCTCACTGCAAGACCTTGTCTGGACCCCTGATGTAAGAGGTGACTCTGATGGGGATGCTGATGTGGGGGGAGAGGGGCCTCTGATGGGGACTCTCATATAAAGGGGAACTCTAATGTATTTGGAATTTCTTTGCTTTATTTTACTGAAGTTGCTGGTTGCAAACAAACTCCAAGAAAAATGACCCATTCATTTAACTCTCTGTCACTAATGAAGAAACTAGGCACAGTCCCAGTGGCTGCTACCACAGGGAGTGTGTGTATATCTGAAAATCCGACTGCCAACTGTCAGAAGCTATTGGGTGACTCTGCCATCACCCGAGTGCTTCCACACACCCCCAGTAATGGCTGCCATATCCCCATGTGCACCCCTGCCATGCTTTCCAGGCTCCGTGCACCCATGAACATGCTCGGTACCATCATAGTGGGCGCTGCCAGGTAGAATAGAGGAAGATGAGCAAACATTCATTCACCCTCCTGCCCTTTCTCTTACTGACCCAGAAACAATGAGTAAAATGTCACTTCCTGGTCTCCAAGTCACTTTCCTTGATTCATTGGAGGACAGGTGAAATATCAGGGGTCCTTTAGATCTAAGACAACAAACAGAGAAAAGGCATGAACACCCAATTGGCAATCTCTACAAAATGAATGTATTGAATAAAATACAGTATAACATACATCGTGGGTGCATGGAGCCACCTCACACCTAATGGCCAAGCTCAGATGCCCTAAAAGACCCCCACCCTAAACCACCCTACCAGAGCCCATCTACCCCCTCCCAAAATGAGAGAAAACCCCTCCAACAAGCAAAAATCCTTCCCCACCTCCTCCTAGACAACCCCCAAGCCCTCCCATCCCCACCTAGAAAACCCCAAGCCCTCCCACCCCCACCCAGGAAACGGGAAGCCCACTCACCCCCAATTGAAAAATACCCCCCCAGGGATAAAGGAAAGATGGTACAATCCCTCCAAACCCTGCAAATGGCCACCCTAAATTGCAAAGAGACAACCAGGACCAATCCTAGTGCCCACCATGCATGGGTTGTCAGGGGCTATATACTAGGTAGGCATCCTGTGTGTCTCCCCAGTCCTTGTACATAACACACACCGTCCTGCCATCCCACCTCCAAGAAATGGCCCTCTATGTTAAATCACCAAAAGGATGGTGATGATTGTGGTAGATTGGATTGTTGAGAGATTCTAAATGGATGGATGAGCTACAATAAGTGGAAATATTATGCTGTATGCATGTAGCATGCGTGGTAAACAGTAGGGTTGTTAGTTATATGCTAGGTAACAGACTGATAGCATAATTGCAAGATGAATGGGATCAATCCTGCGTGCAGCGCTCTCAATGATAGCCATGATAAGTTGGATCATCATGAGATCATGGATGGATGGCTGCAATAAATAGAGACTCTGTGCTGGTATGCACGCAACATGTGTGGTAGTACTATAGGTAATATGCTAAATAACCATCTTATGACATAGGTGCACAGTGCAATAAATTAAGACCAGTCTATGGCGTGTGTACACACAGTAGTATATGCTATTTGTAGAGACTGTTCCTACGCAAAAGCCATATGTCCAACATGAGACCCAAAGAGCTTATAGTAAATGGTATGCTGGAGGTATGTAACGATACAGCCGCCTCTCACCAGTGTCCTCGATCCAATCTATGCTAACGTTACACAGCTGATATGTATTTTATTCAATACATTCATTTTGTAGAGGTAGCCAATTGGGTGTTCATGCCTTTTCTTTCTTTGTTGTGTTATGTAGTTCTTTGGCTACACCCTACCCATATATTAGGGTGGCACCTCTCCATATCTATATAGGTTGGATGAGTTCCTTGGACCACATGTTTTTTATGTCTTCTCTGATGTCTCATTAAAGAGAATTTAGACTAAAAAAATCATCACATTGGAGATGTTTTGTCCCCTGTGTGATAAAAGAAAGTACCGGTATAGCAAAATAAAAAAAAATTAAAGCTTCACCCAAGTACTTAAAATCCCTCCCCACAAAATTTTGAGCACCCCCACCCCCTTAACATACACACACATATGAACATAAATTCATGTGTCAAATGAATCTACACACAAAAATGTAGTTTGCACTATTGCCAGACACACAGTGAGAGCAATAATTCTAGCACCATAGCTCATGGTTAACTCTAAACTGATGACTAGGGGGCTTTTAAAGCTTCGCCTATGGAAAATATAGTGTAGTGTTTGTAGCCATGTCACTGGAACATGAAATTTTAAACCTTGACATGGTGGGTATCTATTTTCCCATTGCAACCTCTCATCTTTTATACTTTACAAAAAATCAGGTAATTTATTTAATTTGTGTGCCCTAAAATTACCATTAGTGCATTTTTACTGAAATTTTGCTTTTCTTAAACCATTGTGGTAATATCGTGTGACATACAAAATTGGAATTACCACTGTTTTATTCTCTAGGTCTAGAGTGTCTGCTTTCAGAAAATATATATTTTTTGGGGGGTTTTATGTAATATTCAGGTGTAAAATGATGTGCAAAATAAAGGCAAAAACAGCTCTGGCAGCAAAAGGGTTAATTTTGATTCACTCATTTACAAAACGTTTTTTGTTTCTCAGCTTGCAATATTTGTAAATTATACAAAGTGGCCCTCGTTCTATTACAGTGATTGTAACAGAATAAATGTTATCTTTTAAAAATAACAAACCTGGTGTACTTACCTGCTCTGTGCAATGGTTTTGCACAGAGCAGCCCTGATTCTCCTGTTATCAAGGGCCGGTGCTAGACTATTTTGCACCCTGGGTGAGACCAGATACATGCCCCCCCCCAAAAAAAATAACATTTATTAAAAACAGTAGAAAATACTCATATCAACAAAACATGAAACTGCTAAATTTCTTTTAATTTGCAAAAATAAGTGCCATAAGATGCCACCAGCTCCAATATTAAAGACACAATCAGTGTCACGGAAAGACTGTATCTGTGGCTGGCAGTGGCAGGGTGACAGTTGCAGTGAGTGGAGGATGATGGATCCACACTCTGACAGATCCCAGGATGGAATCCCCAGGCCATGGGGGAAGATAAAATGCTGTTATAGCAGGCAGCCCAACCCACATACACACACACACAGAACAACTGAAGTGAGCAATCCCACACAGTGACAGATCCAACACAACTCACCAACACCTACACTGGTGGATCAGCAGGCACTAGAAGAGCAGGCTGTGGGATCATGATAATATCATCACTCACTGATACATTGCACATGTGATGGATGTCTGGCCGGCCGGGTCACATTCCCACAGACACGAGACATCAGAGTCAAACATTACCTTCCTCCACAGGCACAGCTCTGCCTCCACTGACGAATAGGAAAGAGAAGGGCTGAAACTCCACAGTGATGAGCAACCACCAGCCCACTTGCAATAAGGGACTGAGTCTGAGAGGAATACTGAAAGGAGCTGCAGCTCAGCTGCTATACTGGCCCCAGACACACAGCATCTTCCTCTGCCCTTTCTTCCTTTCCTCTGCCACCCCTCCTCTTAGCTGAAGGATTACTCATGACTTGGTTGCATTCCACACAGAGAGAGTGCTGGCCAGTGTTGTGCCCAGGTGCCCCTAGGTGACAGTGGAAGCACCAGCCCTGCAGCTATCACTCCTGGCATCTCCCCCTGCTGAGTGGCCCTATAGTAAACCACTTGCTATGGGGGACACATGCAGGCTCACTCCTTAGTCGGTTCTGTGTGTCCATAGACACATTAGCCCCCATGCTGTCCTACTAACGGCTAGCCGACAGCTAGTTAACAAAAATGACAGAAACAGCATTGTGTTTCATTCCAAAACTGAATTTACTTCTGTGAATAGTTATGTAAAACTGCAATACAATCACATAACCTGAAGTTACAATATGCTTGTACACATGTCTATTACAAATTCATAGAAAGAACATATTTCTTGTAAACAGCTACCTATAAATAAGTGTAAAAAAATATATAGTGAGCACAAAGAAATAAATAAACAAGCAGCTAGCACAATGTGGCAAACCTTCCTATTCCACTGAAAACATAAGCGTATATACAGACATACAGCACTAATATTGGTCTATGTGAACAAAAACAAATATGTAAACTAATATTCAATATCATAAATAATAAAGTCTAAAAGAAAAAGTGCAATGTCCAGCAATAATGTGTGAATCAATGGTGATCAATGATGTGAAGTGACATCTGTGAAGGGTACATCTGTGACAATCCTCCACCACTATGCACTCACCAGAAGCAAGAAATAAACAGGCTCTGAACAGAAATCCCTCCAAGAGATGTATCCTTTCCACTGCAGGAAATAGATAAATATTCAAATGACATCCACTGCAACTGGGCTCTATATGGGCATTCCTGGAAATGGACCTCCACTCAGGGGCGGGCTGACCATTTGGAAACTCGGGCACTGCCCGAGGGCCCGGGTCAGTAGGGGGCCCCATGAGATGCCCCTGGTACCTTTTTCTTAGGCTTTTTTGAGTTTGGGCAAGGACACAGGGGCCCCATGATCCCCTATTGCCCGGGGGGCTCCATGAGTTGTCAGTCCGCCCCTGCCTCTACTACACCGGTCGGCGAACAATCCAAATGTGGCAAATCCTAAAAGGAGCTGATGATCTTCCAGAAATGCACTCAGCTCCTAAGACTTGTTTTGTGCAGACAACACACAGCATTTTTGAGGAGTGGAGACCCCACATTGTTTTTTTTTTTTTTTTTTTTTTAAATTGTCGGGCAATGCCGGCAATTCTTTTTACATTCAGCTATCAGCGAGGAACCCCACCCCAAATAATATAACTCATGCGGTATTTTAGTAGCTGAGCAGTATCTTACCATATACTCAGATGCGGTAAGATACCACTCAGTAAATTGGTCGCGTTCGAAGTTCATGGTCGAACATTCTGTAGGTTTGAATATTCGACCGTGAACTGAACAGGGGGGTGTTCGGCTCATCACTAACCACTTTAAGTTTGATGACCAAAACAAAGATAATACGGTATATATAGTACAATTTCATATGCTTAGTTTGTTGGCTGTATATGTTTCAAGTGTTTATGTTCTTTTAGTGCATTCTTAGCTTACACAGACCCACCATGCTTACACTACATTTCATTTACACATATATAAATTCGAGAAGATTGTTCAATATCACTCGATTTACTGGAAACACTTAACCTACAGACAGTGGTCAGCATTATCTTTGAACAAAGACAAAAATAAAATTCACAGACACAGACGAATTTGCAGCAACTGACCTTTGTGCCCTCCGAATCCAAACACACAGAAAAGATCAAAACAAAACAAATGATGATGAACCGGTAAGCTGTGGAAACTGTACAATGCATGCTAGGGAATACATCTTTAATTAAAGTACTACAGGGTCTTATTTACAACTACATTTTAAGGAAGGCAATCATTTACAGACACATGTACAGTGTAAAAAATACTTCAATATGCAGAAGGAAAATGAAAGTAGTACAAAACAATCTACATTTTTTCAATAACTCCATTCCTGTTAAACAAAGCAACATCCCCCCATCATATTTTTCGGTGTAAGGCGCTAGCAATGTTTATGAATCACCACTGCCAGCTTTAGGTCACAGCACCACTTTCCATGAAAATCAAGATAGGGAGCATGTGCCCTGGTCACCTTGTTGCCTAAGCCCAGGAAAGACAGCACAGTTGTATAGAGGAGGGAGCAAAGACAGGGGTATTCCATCCTAGGTTTTTAGGGCTATGAGCTGCTGGAGATGCAAACAGCATAGAAAGAGAAGCTGGCCAGCCATGAGCATTTATACAAAGATGGCACCATGGGACCCTGTAGGGGGATGGAGCCACCTGAAACTGGAACCTAAAAGTTGAGGAATTTTACAGATAGAAGCTTAAGAATCTGCACACTTGGAAATTCAGACACATAGCATACATGGTAAAATGCTGAGGTGGGCAGAACTGTATGCTTTTAACTTTTGAACATTTAAAAGAGAAGTATGATTTTTTTTTATCATACTTACCTAGGTGGATGCAGCTTCAATCAGATGCTGCGTCTTTCACCTGGGAGATCTAAGGGTGAGAGAATGGAGTTATCAGATACCACTGATCTCTCAGTTATCCTCACTGCTCTAAGCAGAGATTGGTCACAGAGGTATTCTCTGCTGGGCTGTGGAGGGGGCAGGCTGAGCCAGGTGCCGGTCAAGAACCTGGGTGGATCCTGACCAGGGGCGGACTGACCATTTGGAAACTCGGGCACTGCCTGAGGGCCCAGGGTCAGTAGGGGGCCCCATGAGATGCCCCTGGTACCTTTTTCATACGCTTTTTTGAGTTTGAGCAAGGACACGGGGGCCCCATGGGTTGTCAGTCCGCCCCTGATCCTGACCATATGGTTGCGATCTTCCTCTAGCCTGGGCTATCTCTGTGACATAAGCTGGCAGCGAGCTAAAGCATGTCACTGGAGAACTGCACTCTTGTGATCCACAGGAGAAGTACAGCCAAACAAGCTTTGACTGTACTTCTCCTTTAATATCATTTTAGGTTTGCTCTTACTTCATTAGAAATGTAAATGTTAGGTCTCTGAAGCTTTCTACAGCAATGGGAATTTATGTAAATGTATAGAGGTCTCAAATGTACACATTTTACCATGGATTACAGGGTGCTCATAGATCGAATGTCTCAAGTGTTTACACTTGTGGTAAATAAGGTGCAGCAATCAGGGCCGGTGCTTCCACTAGCAAACTAGAAGGCCGCCTAGGGCGCACTGTCACCTAGGGAGCCTGGGTGCAGCACAGGCTGGCACTCTCTCAGTGTGGGACACCGCCACAGCATGAATGATCCTCCAGCTGAGGGGAGGGGCGGCAGAGGGGCAGAAGAAAGGGCAGAGGAAGATGCCAGTTGTCTGGGGCCAGTGTAGCAGCTGAGCTGCCACTCCTTCCAGTGTTTCTATCAGACTCAGTCCCATACTGCAAGCTGACTGATGGCTGCTGATCACTGTGGAGTTCCAGCCCTTCCCTTCCCATTCATCAGTGAAGGTGAGGGTGGAGCTGAATGACAGAGGAAGGTAATGTCTGACTCTGATGTCTCATATCTGTGTGTGTGTGACCCAGCCAGCCATCCATCACATGTGCAATGTGTCAGTGAGTGATGACATCATCACAAACCCACAGCCTGCTCTTCTAGTGCCTGCTGATCTGTGTCAGTGTTGTTGGTGGTGTGTTGTGTCGGATCTGTCACTGTGTGGGATCGCTCAGTTCAACTGCCTGCTCTCACAGTGTTTTATCTCCCCCCATTGCCTGGAGAATTCCAGCCTGGGATCTGTCAGAGTGTGGATCCATCATCCTCCACTCACTGCAACTGTCACCCTGCCACTGCCAGCCACAGATACAGTCCATTCATGACAGTGATTTTGTCCTTATTTTGGAGCTGGTGGCAACTTATGGCACTTATTTTTGCAAATTAAAAGAAATGTATCAGTTTCATGTTTTGTTGTTTTAATATCTTCTACTGTTTAAAAAAAAAATTGGGGGGGGGGGATGGGGGGCAATTAGCTGGTCTTGCCTAGGGCACAAAATAGTCTAGCATCGACCCTGGCAGCAATATGATAATTATCTTGGATCCTGCCACTATCAGGCTCAAATACATGAATTTATCCCCAGTGCTGTGACACAGGCCCTACTATCTGTACAGCAAGTGATGGAATAAGCGCTGCAAGCAGGTTAGAAAGAATATACTTTGCACTTGTAATAAGGACTGTGGCTGTTTGTTAGGAATAGGGATAAGCTGCCAGGTTTGGTCCAAACCAAGTTCACATTGAAATTTGCTTGTTCCGAGATTCAACTAAATTGGTTTTCAGCAAAGTCAAATGTTCAGTGAAACATGTCACAGCTTCTCCTCTGGCTATTTGTTAGAAAGTCAGCAGGCACCAGCATGCTAACAACCATGACTCATGGAGCCACATCTAGCCTGTCTGATCTGGCGGTCCAGTAAAGAAAGTTGAGGGGTATGCCTGCCACTGGTGCATGAGACTTCTGGTGCTGATGAGTCTGGATGAAAACCAATGGACTGGGAGCTTGTATTACCACCTGGGTCAGGGGCAGAAATGCGTGCTTTGAAACCAAAAATATATATTGATCTGCTAGCATAATCTGACAAAGACAATGAACTAGGTAACATTAGCCAAACAAAGCCCACCAGCACATGTGTACAGACTTTCAATCTCTCCATAGTCCAGCCCCTTCCCCTCCC